CCTGCTCCTCTATGCAGAGAGAGCACACAGGGGTCTTAGCAGAGCTCATGGTCCTGGGCCCCTATTTAACCTGTCCCAGTCAGGACTCGGTGACATCCTGCTCTTCCTGAGACACCAGACACAGCCAAACATGTCCAGCCAAGGCAGCACTGAACAGACAAAGCACAAGCCTGGTCCCTGTCCCAGGGGACCTCACATCCTGGGACAGTGAGTGGGACAAAAAAGGAATAGGGTAGGAGGCTGGGTTAGGGGAAGGGTGAGCAACAGCAGTGAGGGGGTAGGATGTGGCAGCAACCTGGAGCTGCACGAACTAGACAGGTAACCAACGGCAGTGTCCAGAGGGACACAGGACTCAGGTGTGCACAGGGATGGATGAGGTCTGAGCTGGCAATAGGCCAGACCACGGGAGAACGGAGAAGCCTGCCTTCCACGGAATTTACTGAGCGCCCTGTTAGAGAGCAGGCAGGACCTCTGTTTCACAAACAGTGAGCAGAGAGACAAGATGATTTGCTGAGTTACAGAGCCAGTCTGACACCTAGCCAGTCTGACATCCACACCCCCATCTATCCTCACAAAAGCCCCAGCTTCCAGGGCAAACACATCACCTTTACTTCATGAGAAAATGGCCTGGGACATCTTACTTCTAGGCGAAGTCCACGGCCCCAGCTTTCCTCAGAGAGCAATGAACACAATTGTCCCTTCTCCCAACAGGTTAGGAGCCATTTCTCTCGGTCCAGGCCATGTCCCTTATACAGTACAGTAAGTACCATTTACAACAGAACAGCACAGTTTAGAAAGAAGGAGACAGGCAGAAGGGAAGGCCAGGTAAGTAAAGGCAGCAGAGGTTGAGCAGGACCACTAGACTTGGGCAACCTTTTTGGTCATGTCCTTCAGCCTCTCTACTGAAAGCCCAGCAGAAAAGTGAGACGTACTCAAGAGCTAGTCGAAAATGGGATTGGCCCCCTATCCAGGAACCAGTCTTCTCTCAGGCCTCCAATTAGGTTCCCTAGCTATGGCTTTTGTACAGGGCTGGGCCACCATCTCCCAGGTAAGGGAAGGAGCCCAAGCCCTTCTGCTTGTGACATTCAAAACTGTTGACAACAGAGGGTGGATACACCCCAAACAGGATCATGTGATGTGGGGCTGGGGCTAAATCCTCCCTAGGAAGGAGGGGCATGGTAGCCCCTCAGGTCTTCATAGCTCAAAGACCCCCTGGTCTTCTGGCATGGAACACTGAGTGGAGCAGGCCCACCTCCAGCCCCACCAGGCAAGGAAGGAGCTGAGGAGGAAGTAGGGAGGAAGTGTTTGGAAGGAATCATAAACTTTCCCGGCAGCCACAGTTCAGGGCTGCCATCGGTTGGCCTCTTCCCATTTCTCCTGCCCTTCAGGAAGGGGAGGGCAGGGCTGCTCCAATGAGGAGGCCTTGCTCACCCAGGCGTCTCCCTGTCAGCACTGACTTAGGTTTCTGCAGCTTGCCACAAACCACAGTGGCAAAGAAGCCTGTGGAGTTCCAACTTCAGAGCCCTTCTCTGGCTGGGCCTGGAACATCTCTGGCCCACAGACTTTCAACTCAGGGCCTAAGAACAGCTCCTTTGACTGGTCCAGTTTATTGTTTTTAAATCTCTACTTTGTGCTAGTGTACTCATAGGTCAGAGGACCACTCTCAGGGGCTGTTTCTCTTCTCCCACCACAGGTTCCTAGGATGGAACTCAGTACGGCTTTCTCTGACAGTGCTTGATGGCTAAGCCATCTCAGTGGCCTGGGGACAAGTGTTTAAGTAGCCATGGTCAGAGGGGCCCAAGGCCAGGTACTGAACTGGTAGCAAAGCCTGTGCTTTAAAACTCTCCTGGGAGACAGAAAACACTTTTACTCCCTTCTCTTCCAGAGCTACCACAAAGACTTGCTTCCCAGAGACCAGGAAGGGCTCAATGAATGAGGCTCACTCACATCCAGCATTGTCAGCTCTAACAGGACAGCACAGGCTCCCCCATGACCACCCCAGTCCCCCAGAGCTTCCCCAGCCTGCCCTTAGCTCTGCCTCATTTCCTACTCACAGGGTACCCTAACCAGTGCCCTGGAGGGCCAAGCACACCAATAGTTCCGGGGCCTCCGGTACAGACAGTCCGTGTTTAGGCCATTTTAATGAATGTTCTGGCCCAAAGTTGGAATCCTCCTCTCACACCTTCTCCAGGTTCCACCCAGACACTGACCCCAATGAAGTTTGCAAGACCCTCTAGATTCATGCTGCCTACAACCTTCCTAAGCTACTGTAGTCTCGTGTACAGGATTTCTCCCCTTCTACGTGCGACCAGAGCTTGCCACATTAAGGCAGGCCCTGAGCAGGACAGCCAGCTCCCTCCAATCAAGGTAGGGGACCATTTCAAGTCACCCCCACAAATGCTGGCAAAGAGCAGCTAAGTCTGCCTCTGGGCACCAGTACCACCTTGTCCTTTCTCTCCTCTCATGCTTACAGTGCACCACATCCTCAGGGTTGTCATGTGAACAAACTGGTCTAGGCCAGGCTTGACCTTGTAGACGGAAATGGAAAGGATAATAGAATTCCTGCTCAGAGTCGGTTATCTGAAGTAAATTCCTCAGAATATGAGTTCTAGTCGGCTGGTTGGTGTCAACCTGCTGGCCTTCCCTTCTGCCTGCCTCCTCCTTTCTAAACTGCTGTTCTGCTGTAAATGGTACTGTATGGGGGGGGGGTGCTGTTCTTAGCCTGTGGGAACCAAATCTGGCCTTCACTGAACTTGAGTTCTTGGGGCAGATTGGTCTTCCTAGTCTAAGACTCAATGATCCAACATCGAGCACCTGGTACCTGGAGACTGAACTGCTTCTCCCCAGAGCTTGATACTTGGGGGAAGAGAAGGGCTGTGTAATTTCGTAAGAGGGCTTTTCCTAAGTTCTTAAGCAGAACCAATTCCACCAGCCCCTCCCACCATCTTACTGGGCAGCTCTGGGCTTAATTGAGCAGGTGTGAACACAGGCAGTAGAGGTCTTCTCCCCTTTTCTCTGTATACACCTAGAAAGTTTAATGTGAAATAAGAGTTCCCTAGAGGCAACAGTAGGGTCAATCCTGTTCACCTCTAGCAGACTGCCTGGGACTCTATGGGGATATAATTGGTACTCTTGAACTGCACTGTGTTGATGGTAGCAGCGGGTGACTCGTTCTCTCCAAACTCTTTAGTTCTCCCCCTCCCCACATCCGCCGCTGAAACCACACACTTGTCATTCTGGTTAACCACCAACTCTGTCCATTGCTTGACCCTGCTTCTGGGCCCAAAACACAAAGAGGAGGGGCATGAGGGTGGATACCCCAGACCATCTGTTCTGCAAAAGCTAAGCACTGGGGTCTTACACGCCTCCAGTGACTCCTGACCTTGAGAGGCTGGGCGGCCTGACTAGCCCCTCGGCCCTGCAGCTCCTCCGCCCCTTGCCGGCTACCACTACTCCCGCCCTACCGCGGAACCAGCTGCAGGCGTGCGCGCGCCTTTGCGCGCGAGCACACACAACACACACTACTACCTCCTGCATGACTCATCATTGAAGCAACAATAGGCAGAAAGAAAGGAAAGGAGGGCGAAAAACTCTCTACACCACAACGTTACCGCCTGAAGGGGGGGGGGGCGCCGAA